GGATTGAAGGATGTCATTTTCTGAAAAACATATAAAGTACACAATTACAAACAAATAATGCAATAAACAAACGAAGTACAAGTAGATTCTCATAACTACTCTTGTTTATTGTTAACAATCCTTTAGTTTATCTTTACAAGGCTTACGACGGGCAAGATACTTGTAAAAACTAAAATTGTTATTTGGGCCTTCGGTGCCGTTATCAGAGCCTCGACGGGAGGGTTAATAACTTTACCAAATTTGTATGTAATTAACCATTGTTTAATTTCAAAATTGTCTTTAGTTTCTAAATATTGCCGACGACGGGGTACAATATCTAACTAAAATTTTGAAATTATTAAGGTCCAATCAAATAAAATCTGATCATGCTTATCCGACGGGGCTTCACATGACCATTTTATTAATGGATCCACAAATGGAGCCCACAGGTTTTAAAAATTAAATACTTAGTTTAAAACCTTCACCCATTCAATATTTTTACTTGAGAATTTTTATAAGCTCTGTTGAATTTATTGTTTAATTTCAAAATTTTCTTTAATAACTTTGTATTGTCAACGTTGGGTTGTACAATACTTTATTAAAATTTTGAAATTATTAAGGCCCAATAAAATCTAATCATGCTTATCCGTTGGGGCCTCACATGATTATTTTATTGATAGGCCCACAATGCGCTTGAAGGTTAAATTAATTTCTTAATTTAAATCTCCTCCCATAATTATTTAGGTCCAATATAATAAAATCCAATCATGCTTATTCAATGAGACTTCACATAATTATTTTATTAATGGTCTTATAACGCGCTTGAAGGTTAAATTAATTTCTTAATTTAAATCTCCTTCTATTCAACATAAGCAATTTTTCCAATTTCTAAGAATTATTTAATTGAGAGTATTCTTTGTTTGATTTCAAAAACTATGTAAGCAAGAACGCCGATGAACATGCATCACTTAGCTTATCTGAATTTTGAAATCATTAATGTCCTAAGATCCGGTCATGATAGGCAGCATATGCTTCACACAATCATGATACATGATTGTGGTATGCAGCGTGTGTTTAACACATGACCATTTTAGTAGACCCACAAATTACTCGCAAAATAAAAGAATTCTCTTAGAAAATTTTCTTAATTATTTTTCTTAATATTTAAATCATCCAAATAACTGATTTAATTATTAATCTAGATTTTAACAATCAAAATAATTATCATTCATAAGGATAATTTAAAATCAAAATAATTTCCATAACGATTATTTGTCTTGATGTTAATTATCCAAAATTACTTAATTCAATTATTAATCTAGATTTTTTTTTAAAAATCATAATAATTATTAATTAATTTTTTAGGATAATTTAAAATCAAAATAATCCCATAATAACTATCATACTAGTCGCTGAAGACATAATAGCTATTATGCTCATGTAATCATACAAGTTATGCAACAATATGGCACCACCTATTCTATATGGCATGTTATCGCAATAAAGCATGTTATCAAATCATATAAAGCACCCAATCATACAACTAAGACAATTAATTATAATAAAAAAAACCTTAATCCATGGTTTCCTAAAAAAATAAAATTACAGAGTAATCAAATAGAAAACTTTGCGGCTGATTGCTCCTTTCCTTATAGTCCATAGGAAGGTTCTGTTTCAAGCCTCTTTATGGTAGCCATGGGTCCAAAGGCCCAAAATACCAACTTTTGGCGAGAAACCCTAAGTCAACATACAGGAACCCTAGCCGTCACGTCCACTGCGCCGTCACCCGAACTCATCTCAGCATGAAACTCCAGGGGAAGGATCGCCTTGGAGAGACGAATCTGCCGCCGCTGAAACCAGCCCAATTGGACACTCCACGCGCCGGATTTGTGCCGGCGAGTGAGGCCCACGCGCAGCCACTTCCAGAGGCGGGTGGGGGCGCGTCCGGCAGAATCTGGCGGTGCTCCGACCACTGTTCATCTCGCCTTTCTGTCCTCTTTCATCTGATGTGGTTGGTTATTAAAATCGGCCACCGAGGGTCACGAACGTGTCAAAACAGTGACGAACGCGCTTCTTTGCTCATCTTCTTGATCTTCTTTATTACAACTTTGGAATACAAATCGAAAAAAAATACAAAATTGAAATAAAAAATCAAGCAGGAAACCTAATCATATGAGATTAGCCTCCTTGTTATAAACCAAGAAAATACAAGGAAATTTCTACCATGGATTAAAGCCAAAACCATATAAAGAATAGATTTTTAATGAAAAGAATACTCATGCAAATATTTGAATAAAAAATATAGAATCCTAGGTGCCATATTTTACGAAGCAAAACAAATTACATGATAAACGTAAAATTAAAACTAGATCCACATCCAAAAAACACAATCCGGCTCTGATACCAATTGTAGGAGCAATTGCATCTGCAGAAGCGTATGAGACCATTGTGATTTGGATATATATATGGATCATCATGGTTTTATCATTTACCTCTTTAATGGCGCAGATTTGAGACGATCTTGTTCCTCACGCTTGAGCCCTTTGCATCACAACATGAACTCACGAACTGTTGAGGTAAACCTTCTAAGCTATCTCTCGAGGAGGAAGGGGAAGTGTGATGACTTAAGTGGTACTATTTATATGGGTTCCAAGAAACCCTTGCTCATTGGGCTCTAGGTTTCTTGGGCTCTTCTCATAGTAATAACCCATTTGGGCTTTAGTAAAAGAGCAAACCCAACAAAACAAAGAATTGAAAAAGTGATATTTTTGTGATGATGCTGAACATAAAACTCTTGTCGGAGAGTATAGATTCTCACACAATAGTAGAATTTAACCATCAATTATAAAGATTTATAAAATTATAACCATAAGTAGAGGTCCTTCAAGTATCAAGCATAAACTTCTACCAAAATGAAAAGAGTTTTAAGGAAAAAAATAATAATTTCAACATTAAGTTTCGTGGATTAAGCCATTTTCTAAAGACTAGAAGAAATAAATAAACCACAGAACCATGGAGAAATAATTAGATGATGAGACTAAGTGATACAAAACACAAACTCATATATATATATATGTATGTATTTATATATATACATATATCTATATATATACATATATATATATATACATACTTATATATATATATATATGGGCTTATCGTTTCTCAAGTTACTTGAGATAATTTTATTTCCGGCTACTAAATCATAACCGTATAAAGATAGATCAATGGTGATAAAGGAAGAGAGAGAAAAAGAAAATCATAATCATTCAAAGGTGAATCAATTAATATAAGGAAATAAATAAATAAAACGACGTAGTTTTGAGGTGGCCGGAGATAAACTTATCTCTAGCTACTTGAGAAATATTTTTCCATATATATATAGGGCTCGCTTTTTCTGCAGTTACTGCAGATAAGTTATCTGCAGTAAGTCTAATACGACGTCGTTTTGGGGCGGAAATCATGATGTTTTTGTAATTTTAATTTATTTCAAGGTTATAATAGTTTTTATATTTATAATTTTTTAAGATTTCAATATCAAAACGACGTCGTTTTAGAAATAAATGCAGATAACTTATCTGCATTAACTGCACTAACATTTTTCCCTTATATATATATTTATATATTATATATATATATATATATATATATATAAATATTGAATATGTGATGTGTTGAATTTGTTTGCCATTAATTAGTTTATATTTATGAGTAAAAATGAATAATTAAAAAATGCATTTTATGAAAAAATACAGAAAAAAGAAAAGTATAAAATAAAAAGTATATAATGAAATTCATATGATAATATAATAAAATATTAATATATACCGCAATTTTTTTTTCATTGGAAAGAAAAGTAGCAAGTAAGGGTGTAAATAGGCCATGGTAGGCAAGGCTTTGGCCTTCTTGGCCTAAGCCTACATAATAAAATGGTCAGCCTATCTGGCCTACGAGCCAATCAAAGGCTTAGTTTAAAGGCCAAGCCTACCCTGTTATTTAAAAAGAAAAAGCCTACATGGCCTATGAGGCCTTTTAGGCCTACCATGTTACAAATTAAATAAAAATAAAAATAAAATATCTCATTCATTAAACAATATTTTCAGCATGGGTCCAAATTATAAAAATTCTACAACAGATTTTTTTAACAAGAATACAGATTATAAAAATTCATGACAACAAAGATTGAATTTTTCTTGGCACATCACAATCTTCAAGTGAGCCTTGTTATCTTCCTCCTACTTTGATATACTTTCTCACTTTTTGAATCTGTGAAACATCATTGTCCTGTAAAATCAAGTTATTAGAGTGAGCCACTTAATATCATTATCTAATATCAATATCTTTTTGAACAAGGATGAGCCACTTAAAATGAAGTTACGCCGAAAACACAGAACACAAATGATAAATATTAATAACTTGCATCAAAATTACCCACAAACATAATTTTGTGAATTAGAAAAAGATAGAAGTAAGTAGAGAGTGAGTGTGAATGAGAAATTGAAAAAAAGAAGTAATGAAAGTTTTGATTTTTTTTTTGGAAATTGATGCTAATTACATCTTTGAGCCGAGTTAGAATTTTCGGTATCTCTACGGATTCGACTTTTTGAGTCGCTTATGAAACTAATCCAGAGTTCGGGTACGAGTCTAAGAATTATGGTACTTATGCCCTTTCCCAAACTAATTCTCTCACACCACTCAGTTCCCATGCTACTAACTGAGCGACCACACTTGATAAGTTTTGATTTTTATGTAAAGAAGAAAGATACTTTAATTCCCACGTGGCATGTAAAGTCTGAATAAATTTTCGGTGAGATTGTTGCACTTAGATTCAGTACATCCCACAAATAAGAGTATTACACGTCAGAAGAGAGAGAGAAAATTTAGCAGAGGAGAGAGAATTTTGGCTGACATGTAATGCTCTCATTTGTGAGATATACTGAATCCTTAGTGCACCAAAGATTTATTCGTAAAGCCACGAACACGGGTACTACGCAATCGCCACGTGCAACTCGCAGTTTCTCAGGTCTCGTAATTTCTTACCCTGACCCCGTGCCTTCTCTTCCGCAAAACCACCTAGATTCTTTAAAAAAAAAAAAAGAAAAAAAAAAGGAAAAAGTGACTCTCATGTCACAAGCTCTGCTTCCATAACAACCATAACCATAACAAATCTTAGCTTCAATTCAATTTCTTCATAGCCATAACCATAATAACAATAATGCTTCCACTGCAACTCACCACTCATCCTCATACCTCATCGCTATTACTGAGCAGCACCAACACTTGTTCCTTCTGTCCCACATCCCGTTCTCTCTTCAACCTTAAAAACAACAACAAGAAGAAGAAGCTATACCTTCTTCGGTCCACTATGGGAACCCTCACTCTTAGGGTTTTCGCGATGTCTGGTGACTCTGCATTCAAGATGAATCTCAACGAGTACCTCGTCACTCTCGAGAAGCCCCTCGGCATCCGATTCGCTCTCACCGCCGACGGCAAAATCATCGTCCACTCTCTCACCAAAGGAGTAACCTCCATTCATGCCTATGTTCCAATTACCAAAAAAATCTGTTTCGTTTGATTATTTTGTTTTCTGATTCGTGTTATTGTAGGGTAATGCGGAGAGGTCGAGGATAATTATGGTGGGTGATACTTTGAAGAAAGCTGGCGATTCGTCTCAGAATAGTCTCGTCGAGATTGAAGACGTTGGAGATACACAGTATGCTTTCTGATTTTGCTTTAGTATGAGTTTGGATATTGGAGTTCTGGGGGAAAGGTTAAACTTCATTTCCAAATATATTTATGGGCTTTGTTCTTCTCCTTTAATGGGAGATGAATTTTCTTTGCGCCTCATACAATTTTTGAATGGGTCCCACCATATATTAACTTAAAAAAATAAAATAAAAATTACACAGAAAACTGTGTGTCATTGGCATGAGAATAGCCTTCTGCAAGTGACAGCATCTTCCTGTATTTGTATTTGTATACGGAAAACATTTTCTCATGTTATAGTTTTTTATGTTTTCTTATGTTGTACGTGAGTTTTCTCTTTTTACTTTTTGTGCAATATTTTCTTTTGTTTTTTTAATAGATATGGATCTCACATAATATGAGTTTATAATATGAGATAGTTATTTTCTAAAGAAAATTGAAACCATATATATATATATATATATAGGGAAATCTTATACTTACAACCTATTTTTGTTTACAGTATCTTACAACCATATCTTAACCGTTGATTTCCGTCAATCAACGGTTATCACTTATTGCGAATTAATAATTAATTAATAAAATTTATTTACGAAAATTTTAACCATTGATTGACGGAAATCAACGATTAAGATATGGGTTGTAAGAGATTGTAAACGAAAATAGATTGTAAGTATAACTTTCTCCATATATATATATATATATATATATGAGATTAATATTTATAAAAGATAATTTGTGTGTGGGGCCATATAAACTAAAAAAAAAGAGAGAGAAAAGGAAATATGGACTCCACATACTTTTTATGTGTGTGTAAGACTTTACTCTACACACGCATAAATATGTAAATGTTGGGTAATAATCTTTTAAAAAATCTCAAGTAAGAGAATGTTAACTTAAAATGAAAATTTTCCTTCCTTTTTCTTTCCCCACAAACTCACCTTTAGCTATAGGTGTTGCTTGCATTGCGGTGCTATTGTGAGCAAAATTGTTAGTGTAAATCATCTGGCCCGAACATCTTTGTTTGTTTGGTTGTTTTTTGTTTTCACAACTCTTTTATTCTCGCCATTTGAACCAGAGGTCATAGTCTGGGTCACAGGCTCAAATCTTCTAACGAGCCTCTGAGCCTAATGCAAGCTAAGGTTACCTACAAGAAACCCACATAATGGGTTGCCATTCGCAGGACCTGCATAGAGCGAGAACTTTATATCACCATATTGCCCTCTTTTTACAGCAAATGCAATTCCCCTTTTACCGCAAATGCAAGGTAAGGTTACTTACTATAGACTCACACAAAAGGTCTGACCATTCTCAGGACCTGCATAGAGTGAGAAATTAATAGCACCATATTGGAATCTCGTGATGGTTAATAACTGTTCTGGGGAGCTAAGTCTATTGGCATATATATATAATAATCCCTTTCAGTCTGTTACATTCTGCACTTTGTTATGTTTTGGTGAATTTATACTTGATGCTGAGCTTGTATTGAAAACAAGCAAGTATAAAAGCAGAGACAAGGTTGTTGGCTTGTCCCACTTAGTTTCCACAATTCAATGTGGCACATGATATGATAATGCAACTGCTAATCAGCCTAAGTTTAACTGCTAATATTATACTAGCTCACACTAAGCACAATGCTGGATTTTCACCAAACTAGGACAAATTCTGATTTGTATCTATTTCGGTGTCTTTATGTATCAAATTCTTATTGCTTAGAAATTGCCCTCTTGAACTGGTACTGATGCCTAGTTACATATAAAACCATTCTTTAATAGTTTAAGCTTATGGGAGAGTTGATTCTTCACACTTAGAAATGATTGTTGATGATTAATTGTAACACGAAAAGATAAAAGATTGGCATTATATCTTGGATGATTTTGTTTCTTCTTCTCTTTTTTTTTTCTTTTAGTTATTTATTTTTTTTGAAAGAAAAAATTGTCAATTGTATGTCAATATGGTATTATTGCTTATCTAAACCTTTTTTAGTCTACTAGAAATTGGCACTCAGTTCTAAGATACCTTAGAAAGATGCAAAGTTACTTTCATTGATCATCATGATCTATTTCGTTCATCAGTGTTTTGTTTTTATTTTTTCAGTCTTTTGGTTTCCTCAGGAAGGTGCTAAAGGAGCAAACAAGTTCTTTTAGCTTGGTTCTTGAGAGGCCCACATCTCCTTTTCCCATTCAGCTACTCCATAAGATGAATGATCTTGAAATATTGTTTAATAGAGGTCGAGTTCCTTTTGTAACTTGGAACAAGACATTATTGGCATCAAATTTACAACCATCTAGTGAGAGCTCTGGGAATTCTGGATTTTTGGTGTTCAATTCAAAGTTTCTCAAATTGAAAGGAAGCAAGTTATTGGGCACTCAAAATCAACATGCCATCACCCACGGGGAGAGACACTTCTTTACTGAACACACAACACAACTTGCTTGTGTTTTTACTGAAGAAGCTTGTGGAGATGGAGATTGGGCTCATGGAAGTTTTCCACTTGAGGAATATATTCAGGCTCTGGATCGTTCCAAGGATGAAATGTACTATAATCATTCCCTTGGTATGCGCTATAGTAAGGTATATAGTTTATTTTAGTTGGTAATGTGATGCATTCAGTATGGTCATTTACAATTTTTTTGTTTATTAGCACATTTTCTACAATATTAATCAAATATTGATTCTTGTGAAATCTTAGATTACAGAGCAAATATATGTGGGATCGTGTATACAAACAGAAGATGATGTGGAAACCTTGTCAGAAGTTGAGGTAAGTGCATTGGCGCCTTAATTCCATGAAAGCCTCCCTAATCCCAGTTTTATGTATTGTAATAGGTAAAACTTTCCTATTAGTAGAAAGATGCTTGTTTATTAAAGAAGGAAATATTACAAGCGAGAATATGTAGGAAATTAACAGCAAGGTTGCTCGAAGCTATGGAGAGGGTTGTCCGAGCTCAACTACCAGATGCAAAATCAAGAAAAAAAGAAGTTTCCTACCCCAAAAATGATTTCCCCATTGATATACATTTCATTCTATTTTCTTTCTCCTCTAACTGGCTTCCACTATCTCCTTACAAATAACAGATATTAGTTTTTTTTTTCTTTTTGACTTGGCTGACTTACAATGGGTTTCCTCACATATACTTGCAATGGTGTAGGATTTGGCCCACTGGACTTCAGCTCATTATCAGCAGAAATGGGTTCTTCTGCATTAGCGCTCTCATCAATACCCCCGGTCTAAAACTTGATTTGTCCTCAATGAAAAAATAGGAAATTGGCTCCTAATAAAGACTTTTCTTATACGTGAAGCCTCTTCCGTAGGCATAGATTTCAAAAGCACCATCCATTTATTTGATGGTTTCCCTCGCTGCCACCATCCATTTATTTGTTGGTTTCCCTTGGTGCTGGATTGTCTGGGAAGCCAGAATAGCTTCAGGTACAATTGGATCAGTATCTGCCACTGCCAATTCGGGAGGGAACGTACCACTGTCAGAAGTAGCACCGTCTGTCTTCTTTAAATTAAAAAACATGGAACACTAGAGGGATCCTGGCTGTGTCTAGCATTTGTAACTTATAAGTCACCTCCCTAACTAGTGCAAGAGCTTGGAACGGACCATAGAATTGTGCAGACAGCTTAGTATTGATGTGTTTGGCTACAGACACCTAGCGGTTAGCATGCAACTTAACATAAACTCAATCTCCAACACTTTAAGTAATGTGCCTCCAATGTTTATCAGCAGTTTGATTCATTGTGTGTTGGGTGCGGGTTAGTTGATACTTCAATTGACGTAAAGCTTCATCTCGATTTCCCATAGCTTGTGCTATTGACTCTACAGGAGTCTCTCCTGTTAAGTAGTGAACAATGGAAGGTGGGGGCGATCATAAACTGCCTCAAATGGTATGGTAACCATAGAGATGTGATAGGTCATATTATACCAAAACATGGCCCAAGAAATCTCAAGGAAACAATTACAAGGTTGTTCAGATGCAAAGCAACGAGTATAAGTCTCAAGGTAGAGGTTGACAACTTCGGTTTGACTGTTGAATTGCGGTAATAGGAGGTACTTACCCATAATAGTGTCCCCTGGAGATATAAGAGCTCTCGTCAGATTCCATTTAGATAAAGAGGGTCCCTATGAGTAACAATAGCCTTAGGGAACCCATAAAGATGAACAACTTCTCTAGCAAAACACTTTGTTATAGTTTTTGGCTGTGAAGGGATGTTTTGCTATGATGAAGTGAGCACACTTAGATATGCGGTCAACAAAAATCATGATAACCTCAATTCCATGGGACTTTGGTAAACCTGTGATAAATTCCATAAGGACTTCCTCCCTTATCAAGCGAGGAATTGGAAGAGGCTATAACAAGCTTGCACGAGCCAAAGATTGATATTTGTTACATTGGCAAACATCATACACTCTGACAAACTTCTTCACATGGCCATACATCCCTTTCCAATACACTCCACTACCAAGGTGCTTGAAGGTGCGAGTAAAACTTGAATGGCCACATGTAGATGTAGAATAGAACTCCTGCAAAAGGGTAGAAATAATTGCAAAATCAGAGGATGACACAAGGTAATTTTTATAGAAGAGCAAGTACCTTTTCACTTGGAAAAAACCAGGTTTGGCAGCTGCATCACTTTGAAATTCTGCCTACAATCGCGATAATACAGGATCATCCATGATTTCAGCCTTGGCCACATCTAAATCTACCCAATATGGGCTAGATGAAATATGATGTAACTCAACACCAGCCCCCATGTGAGACAATGTGTCAGCAACTTTGTTTTCTAGTCCTGACTTGTACATTACCTCAAAATGATACCCCATCAACTTAGACAACTAGGAATGCTGATCAGTGGTAGTTATTCTCTGCTCCAACGGATGTTTGAGGCTCTTGTGATATGTGAAAACTTTAAAAAGCAAATAAGGACACCAATGCTTGACTGCCAAGACTAGAGTCATTACCTCCTTTTCATAAATGGACTTAGCTAGTGTTTTTGGGGCCAAAGCTTTAGTGATCTTAGTCAAGGGGCGAGCAATTTTACTGTAATCCTTAATAAAATGTCTATAATAACCCTTCAAACCAAAAGTCCCTTTATTCCTTTGACATTCTTTGGGACTAGCCACTTAAGCACATTATGCACCTTGGAAGGATCCATTGACATACCTACATAGGAAATAACCTAACCAAGGTACTCTACAGATTGCTGGTCGAATAGGCATTTTTTCGATTAGCAAAGAGATGGTTTTTACAACTCTAGCACTTCACTCAAATGGGCCATATGATGCTCCCATGAAGGATTATAAACAAGAATATCATTAAAAAAGACTAACAGGTTTTATGCTATTAGTCCCACATCATGTAAATAGGGCTCAAGCCCTTGTAATTATTGATATAAATATATTCCCCATGTGATCACAATATACGCATAGTTTCTCAATTTGAAGTTGGTACTAGAGCTTACGTTCTAGGACACATTGCTTTGGTAACACCCTAATCCCTTTTGCAAAACCCTAATCCGGCTAGGTCCATTGCCTACCGGCCATCTTCCTTTCCGATTATCACATCGCCAAGCTATCATTGCCTGGCGTCCTATTGGCACATCTTCATTAGTATGGGACTTGCTCCACCGCCATAGCGACTATTCCATCACTGTCCGGTCATGCTCCACCCTTAGCTGTGACAACCTGCTACTGCCCGACAATTTTTCAACCTGCGACCACACGATCAGAATTGCCTCCCTCCGGCACCTACCTTTGTCCATGTAGTGCCTTGATCGAAGGCTCCATGCGTCACAAACATCTAGAGGCCAGTTTTCCTTCCACCTACGTGTGAGCTACCATTTGATGGCCGTTCTCGATCGGACCACCACAAACTAACTCTTTTTTTCTCTACTCAGATCTGGGCTCGATTTTTCATAGGTCCAGGCTGTTTGAAATTTTTCTGCGAACCATCATCGTTTTTGGCTACTATTCCTCTTATTGACTTGTTGCTTTTCGGTCACTTTTTGAGTGTTTTGTGGGTTTCGACCCTTTTTCCTTTTATTTTATATGTTTCCAATGCTCTTCTCACCTTGTAAGTCCCAATAGGAGACCACAATCATGTTTCATGCTATAGTAACCGTAGTTGCGGTGGTAAGGTACCTCGATGTTATTTTTATCATAAATTGGGACATTTGGAGGAATAATTCAGGGCGAAAAATGGCAAGCTTAGCTCTACTGATCTTACTCATAAGGAGTTAGCATCCTCTGCTCTTGTTGTGTCTATTCCGAGTGTAGACTGTGTAGCCTTTCTTTGGCTTAAGGTCTCCTCATCAATATTGTTAAAACGTAGGGTCTATGTAAAAACGGCAAGGGTGAACAAAAATGTAAAATCGCAAAACGTAAACAAAACGTAAGAGTTTACTAACGTATTAAAAATAAAATATATATCCAACATATATAAAACCAAAACCCACAAACATGCTTATTTTATAAGAATGTCAATTTTAATCTTTGTTTTAATTTATATAGAATGATTTTAATGTATTAATTATATAAATTATTAAATTTAAGCTAATTAATGACTAAAATAAGATATAATTTTATTATTATTACGTGTTATATATATATATATTTGAACTATGCAAAAAAAATTCATATTATATATATTTTTATATTATTCATGGATTTATTAATTACTTAAAGCATTGATTATAATAATATACAAGCATGAGTGTGGCGGTGAGTCTCTTCTTCTTCCCTTTTATTAACACTGATGTTGCTCTCTCTCTTTCTTTCTCTTTCTCTCTCCCTCCCTCCCATGGTGTGAGTTGATTGTATAGAATCGGCTTGGCTATCTATATGTTAGAAATATTAGATTAGATATGATTAGATTTGATTAGATTGCTTCCTATCTGTAAATATTCTCGGCTTCTCACTTAAGCCCATTAGGGTCTCTATATATTGTGACTCTTTGTATTAGATTAATACACAATTGAATACAATACACATTCCTACTTTTAAGTTGGAGCGGGCATTGAGTCACGAGGTCTCTACTATCTGATTACACCACCTTCTCCAGTAGCATGTTCTCTCGCAGAGTCTCCTGAGCTAATTCACAGTCGTCTGGGTCATCCAAGCCTCTCCAAGCTTCAGCATATGGTTCCTTTTTTATCTAGTCTTAAGTCTTTAAATTGTCAGTCTTGTCAGCAAGGAAAGCACACTCGCTCCTCCTTTGCTAATACAGTCAATAAAAGAGATGACGCTCCCTTTTCTATTGTTCATTCTGACATTTGGGGTCCGAGTCGAACAATGTCTGTTTTTGGTTTTCAGTATTTTGTCACCTTTATTGATGATTTCTCTCGTTGTACTTGGGTTTATTTAATGAAAAATCTTTCTGAATTATTTTCAATTTATCAAAAATTTTGTGCTGAAATAACTACTCAATTTGGCGCTTCTATTCAAATCTTGCGCAGTGATAATGCAAAAGAATACGTGACCCTTGAATTTTCTAATTTTTTGGAGAAACGTGGGACGTTACACCAGACCACTTGCCCACACACTCCACAACAAAATGGAGTGGCCGAACGTAAAAATAGACATCTGGTTGAAACTGCAGGTACCCTACTAATTCATATGAATGTTCCACTCTGTTTTTGGGCAGATGCTATAATCACCTCTTGCTTTCTCATCAATCGCATGCCCTCTTCCGTACTTAATAATGAAGTTCCACATAGTGTTTTATTTCCAGGAGCACCTTCCTATCCTCTACCTCCACATGTATTTGGATGTACCTGCTTTGTTCATGATCTTACTCGAGGAAAAGATAAGTTAACATCCAAAGCTTTCAAGTGTGTTTTCCTTGGATGCACTCGTTTCCAAAAGGAGTATCGTTGCTACTCTCCTGATCTCAAGCGTTATATTGTTTCAGCTGATGTCACTTTCATTGATCAACAACCTTTTCATTCTATCCCGTCTCAGATAACACAAGTTGATCATGTTCTTCCTCTTTCTTGTCTTGATTTGTCTTTACCAGTTGCAGGTGACTTTATTCCGGAGGAGCTACCCCTTGCCTCCATCCTTGAGGACCGTCCTTTTCTTACCTATCAGCGTCGTCAGCCTGCGCCTCCAGCGGATTTGACCCTTACTGATTCACCGCCTCCTTCAGTCGACTCTTCACCTCCGGATCCTCCATCAGAGATTACTCCCATTGCCCTTCGCAAAGGTATTCGATCCACTCGCAACCCTTATCCAATTTATAGTTTCTTGAGTTCTGATAGACTTTCTTCACCATATTTTACTTTTGTTTCTAGTATTTCGTCTGTTTCTATTCCTAAAACCACAGGTGAAACACTATCTCATCCGGGTTGGCGTCAGGCGATGATTGATGAAATGCAAGCACTTCACTCCAATGGCACATGGGATCTTGTTCATGCTCCTCCTGGAAAGTCAGTAGTCGGTTGTCGATGGGTATTCACTGTCAAAGTTGGTCCTGATGGCACTGTTGGTCGCCTCAAAGCTCGTTTGGTTGCCAAGGGATACACTCAGATATTTGGTCTTGACTATGGGGATACTTTTTCTCCTGTTGCTAAGATAGCATCTGTTCGCCTATTTCTTGCACTTGCTGCCATTCATCAATGGCCCCTTCTACAGCTTGATATCAAAAATGCATTCTTACATTGTGACTTGCAAGAGGAAGTATATATGGAGCAACCTCCAGGTTTTGTTGCTCAAGGGGAGAATTCTGGAATGGTATGTAAGCTTCATAAATCTTTATATGGCCTGAAGTAGTCCCCTCTAGCTTGGTTTAGTCGCTTTAGTTCTGCTGTTCAATCCTTTGGCTTAACTAGAAGTAAAGCCGATCATTCTGTCTTCTATAGGCATAGCTCTTCTGGTCAGTGTATCTATCTTCTAGTCTATGTTGATGATATCATTATTACTGGCAGCGATCGAGTTGGGATTAATCAGTTAAAGAAATACTTATTCAATCAGTTTCAGACCAAAGATCTTGGCAGGCTTCGATATTTCTTAGGGATCGTAGTGGCACAGTCTAGGCAGGGCATTTCCATTTGTCAGAGAAAGTATGCACTGGATATCCTAGATGAGACTGGTATGTTGGGATGTAAACCTATTGATACACCTATGGATCCTAATGTTAAGCTGTTACCTGGACAAGGGGAGCCATTGGCAGATCCTGGTCGTTATCGCCGATTAGTTGGAAAGTTGAACTATCTTACTGTGACAAGACCAGACATCTCCTTTGCAGTTAGTGTGGCAAGTCAATTCCTTGACTCTCCTTGTAACTCCCATTGAGATGCAGTTATCAGGATTCTTCGATATATCAAAAGAGCACCAGGAAGAGGTTTATTATACATAAATAAAGGGAATGCTAAAGTATCTAGCTATTCAGATGCTGACTGGGCAGACTCTCCTTCAGACAGACGATCCACCTCAGGGTATTGTGTTCTCCTTGGAGAAAACTTGATCTCTTGGAAGAGTAAGAAACAAAATGTGGTCGCAAGGTCAAGTGCAGAGGCAGAATATCGGGCAATGAGAAATGCAACCTGTGAGCTCATCTGACTCAAACAATTGCTTAAGGAACTACATCTCTGTGAACAGCAACCCATGAAGCTCATTTGTGACAATCAAGCAGCATTGCATATATCCTCTAATCCAGTCTTTCATGAGAGGACCAAACATATAGAAATTGATTGTCACTTTGTTAGAGAGAAGATTCAGTCAGGAGAAATCGAGACAACATTTGTCAATTCCAGTGATCAACTTGCAGATGTTTTCACCAAGGCTTTTAGAGGTCCCCGAATAGATCATATATGTAACAAGCTGAGAGCTTATGATATATATGCACCAGCTTGAGGGAGAGTGTTAGAAATATTAGATTAGATATGATTAGATTGCTTCCTATTTGTAAATATTCTGGGCTTCTCACTTAAGCCCATTAGGGTCTCTATATATTGTGACTCTTTGTATTAGATTAATACACAATTGAATACAATACACATTCCTACTTTTAAGTCTATATACATTGGAGGGGCTGAGGAGAAGGTATCTATCTCCCAATAAGACTTTAATCCTCCCAAAGACAACTAAGGAAGTATGCAACCGAAGCAAATAAATTCTCCGAATAAGACTTTAATCCTCCCAAATGCTTTGCATCAAGAGTTGTTGAGTGCCAAAACTAAAGCGAGAGTAGAAGAGAAAAGAAAGCATAGAAACAAGTAAGAAGAAATGTCATCAGCATTTGTTTCTGCAACTGCAACTTGAACTGCTCTTCTTCTTTTGTTTTTTGGTTTGGGTTGGAGTAACAACCAACAATGGTGAAGGTGTTGGCGATGAAGCTCTTCTTTTTTTTCTTCTTCGTCTTTGCTTCTTTTTCTCCCCTCTTTGCTTGATCTAACTTCTTTTTTATTTTTTTAAAATTGAGTCAACTCGTTAAACTCGCCGAGTCAACTGAGTTTACCGAGTTGACACCGCGTTTCAATCGTTTCGACTCAAAACCCATTTCAACTACCGTTTTGACTCGATTTTGGTCATACAAACGCAGACACGGTCCGTTTCTACGTTTCGACACTACGTTTTTACAACACTACTCCTCATGAATGAGTGATCCTATTGCTTGCATTTCTCAATCATCTCTTGGATTGTGGATAATTACTATGGTGCTTCTAATCATCTCTATGGTAATAAGGATCTTCTTACGTCTCACCTATTTAGAAAATTTACATCCAGTTACCTTTGCTGATGGTTCCAAGTTAGTTGTTCGCGAGATTGGACAAGCACAAACGTGTTACTCTACCTTTAATTAAGGTTCTCTATGTCCTTGGTTGCTCTTATAATTTAATATCTTTCACTCAACTCATTTGTTCTCTTCATTGTTCTTTTATTTTTAATGAAAAATCTGTTGTTGTGCAGGATCCGAGTACGAGGAGGATGATTGGAGTTAGTAGTCCTTTGTCATCTTGTTGCGTCTAGTTTCCCAGTGGCATGTACCATGACAGATTTTCCTAACCTTATTCATTGCCATCTTGGACATCCAAATCTTTGCAAACTTTAGAAGATGGTCTCTCATATGTCTCATTTATAGTCTTTGGATTGTGTCTCTTTTAACAAGGGAAACACATATTTTCCTTCTTTGCTAGTTGTGACAACAAAAGGGCAAAGACTCCCTTCTCTCTTGTTAACTTAGATATTTGGGGTCCAAGTTGGGTTAGGTCTAGTTTGGGATTATATTGTGTGTCCTTGTTCATTCTAAATTGTTCTTCATTTACAAAAAAATTTGTGCTGAAGTTTGTACCCAATTTGGAACCACTATTCGTGTTTTAAATCAAATTATTTGTCCTCATACTTCGCAACAAAATGATGTAGCTAAATGCAAAAACAAACAACTAATTAAAACAGGCAGCACTCTACTCCTTCATATGAATGTTCCTCTTCACTTTTAGGGAGATGTTGTGCTTATATAATGTTATCTAATAAACCACATGCCTTCCTCTATGTTAGACAATGAAGTTCCTCGTCATATCTTGTTCCTTGATATGCTCGTGTGTTCGGTGCCTCCTCATGTTTTTGGTTGTACGTGTTTTGTTTAAAATCTTACACTAGGGAAAGACAAGCTCACAGTTAAAGCCTTCAAGTGCCTCTTTGTTGGTTATGCCCGTCTTCAGAAGGGATATCGTTGCTATTTTCTAGACCTTCAACATTATATGGTATTTGCTAATGTCACTTTTTTTATCAGCAAACTTTCTTTGCTTTAGCTACACAGGTCTCTGAGGTTGATACTATCCTCCTTATTACCTTATTTGATCCTTCTTCCATAGGTGTCTCAGGATTTGTAGTTGCACCACCACCTTCTCGTCCTCCGATCACTTATCAGCTATGATCTCGCCCCCTCTAGAGATGGCCCCCGTCTTAGAAGATACTCCCAGTGACTCAGTGCCTTCTCCTATCATTCTCTATGCCTCTGCTCCTGCATCAGACAATTTGCCCCTACTTTTTGCTAAATAGACTTGGGTCCTAGTCCCCATCTCCCTCTTTCTATTTACACATGATCTCTAACAGCGTCATAGTTCTTTGTGGTTAATTAACGACTATTGCATATCTCCTAAGGTAACAATGAGTACTAGCACTTAAAATATCTTTGTTTCTTTTGTTTTTTAATTCTCCTAAATTTGTTCTTTTTTTTACTGCAATAAATTTTATATGAAATTATCTTTCCATATCAATCCTTTTAAGCATTATATCTTTATGATATTATAGTTAGAAAATTTCTATCACAGGGAGTCACTGCTATTCTGAACTTCCAAAGTGGAACTGAAGCTGAAAATTGGGGAATCAATGTAAAATCCATCAATGATTCTTGTCAGAGGAATAATATTCTCATGATCAACTATCCTATCCGGTAATTTTGGGTACAAAGCATGTAAATTTTCATTTAACTTTTTCTTTTGGAAATATAATATAATATATAAAGTTATAAACTATTCATCATTCTTCACCCAACGGTTTAAGTTTTTGGAAGAGTTGGTTGCATGACATGATATCATAACCTTTATGATTGAGTGATCTAGGTTCAATCCTTACAGCCTCATTCTTCTCATAAATATTTAATTGTAAAATTTCTTAGCATCGGTAGGTGAGTTTGTGCATTATCCACCCTTTAAGCCTAATGGACTTTTATGTGAAGGAGCGTGTTAGAAATATAATATAAAATATAAACCATTCATCTAATAGCATATGCTTTTGGGAGAGTTTGTTGCATGATAATTTTCAAAGAATTCATGGACCGATGATAATTTGTGTCTACTTTTGGGATTTCTTCAGCTTATGTTTGTATCTGAATTTTCATCCTTATCTGTCGATGATTGTCTTTCAAGCAAGAAATAGTGTCAAGTGTCTCTTTATGATGTGAATTGCAGAATGTTGAAATATTAAAAACACACACACGTACATATATATTGGTTTTTTAATATATTGATCCTTTGTTGAAGTGAATCAAGAATATTTTCATATGGAAATGGCATCACAGCTTCTGATTACCCCCTAATTTTGATTCCTATCATACTTTGATTTATGCTTTTATCTGATTTTTCTTTACTTGTGTTTTTAGGGAGGGAGATTCATATGATATGAGAAAAAAACTCCCATTTTGTGTGGGGCTTTTATTACGGTTGCTAAGGAAGAATCTTCGTGTTTTTGTTACTTGCACTTCTGGATTTGATCGGTCTCCTGCTTGTGTAATTGCATACCTACATTGGATGACAGATGTTTCCCTTCATGCAGCCTATACTTGGGTCACTGGAATGCACGGGTGCAGGCCTGACAGGTTCATCTTGCTAAATTTTGAACACATTTACATCGTATGTTGACTGTTTGTTAGATGTTCTGTTCAAGAGGTCATGAAAGCATGTTATATAGTCCTCTAAAAGAATTTAATTTTTATATGCAATTTATAAACGAAGTACAACTATAGAAGTGTCTTTTTCTCTGGGGGTGAGGGGTTGTAATTTTCTGCAAGTTCTGTCTCAGCCTGATGAATTTCAACGGAGGATGATTGGCTAGTAACTGAGTTTCTTGAAAAATATATCCATTATCCACGATTTTTATTATTCAGATATATTTTCTTCTAATGTTATTGAATCTCTTGTTGAGGTATCTCAGCTTATCTTTCTGGTTTTCTATTAGTCTCTTGTAGTCAGACTTAGTTTATATATACTTTCACCTATAGGAGCCGAAGAGTTAAATAGCTTGGATGTTGGCTAGTTAAATCTGCTGATAGATTGAGCTATAATGATGAAATTTTCAGTGAGTTATCATCTTGAATTAAGTGGTGGCCCATAGCGGAAGATAATACAGGTTGTGAGTTATTTGATTGAACAAATTAAGGTTGCCGTGGCAATAACATTGGGTAATTGTTATGCTTTCAGTCTCCGAGAGTTCTTGGACCTTATAATTTGTTTGATAAGTAGGTGATTTGTTAAAATATTTATGTTGCCTTCTCTCATTGTCAGTTTCCCTTAATTAGAGAAGACAACAATCAAGAGAACCTACAATTTAACGGCAATTACTTATTTGGTTTCTGTTATGTCATATGAAGCTCTGCTCCTATCTTTCCTGTTTCCCACCTCTCAACTTTTTTGGAATCTTTGTGCCATTCTTTACTTTGTCGCTTAGAAAAGCATTTCATAGAGATTTAACTGCAGGCCTGCAATTGCATGGGCAACATGGGATCTTATAGCTATGGTTGAAAGAGGCAAACACGAAGGACCTCCCACACATGCAATCACATTTGTGTGGAATGGTCATGAGGTAACAGACCTGTCAGTTATAGCTACACTACTGCTTTGTGGCTAATTTATCTTTTCATTCTTAAAAGAGGGTTAGGAGACTACATCTGCTATATTATTAAGATTGATCATAAATTCATGGCTTTTATGGTTCTTCTTAGTAGTCCTTTCTATGCTGTCACATTTGTGTGAATGGTCATGAGGTAAGACACCAGTCGGTTAGAGCTTCATTCCACCTCTCTGGCTAATTTATCTTTTTATTCTTAAAATAGGATTACGAGATTAAATGTGTGTAATTGTTAGTCAGATCGATCATAAATTCAAGTTTTTTTTATGTTTTTTCATATCAGTCCTTTCGGTTTTTATGCTTCAGGGGGAGGATGTAACTTTGGTGGGAGACTTCACTGGAAATTGGAAAGAACCACTAAGGGCAAAGTACCAGGGTGGATCAAGACATGAAGTAGAAGTTAAACTTCCACAAGGAAAGTACGTGGCTACTTTTACCATTATTGAATGTATTCAAAGTCTTATGTTTTTTCTTTCTTAGCTCGATGACCTAATTGGCTAAATATTCTAATACTATACATCCATTTAGAGTATATTCTAGAAGGACAAGTAGGCTAATGTTGAAAGCAATTTAGCTACTACGTCAGTAGAGAGGCCCTTAGGGTTGAGTGCACGGATTATTTTGAAGGGCAATTCTATTAGAGTAAATAAAGGGTAAGAGGACGTGGGAAGACACATTGACACATCAGCATGAATATGGAGGTTATTTTCAGAAGAGGCAGGCTGGGATTTGGAATTGGGCTTGGGAGAATTCAGGGCTTCTCTAGTTGCTCTCAACTTATCTTTCTTCTATTGTTTTTCCCCTTTATTCAATAGGGCTATACTCCATAGTGCTCTTCATTCTTAGTATTTGGACTTTTACTACTTTTTCCAATTTGTGACAATATGTACTCTTTTGTACACTATTTCAATTTACAATCAGTGACCATCAATGTTGGGATTCCTTTTTTCCTTTCTTGATTGTCTGGTTCCTAACAAATTGGTATCTGGCTCTTGACGATTTGGGTGCTGTGGTATCAGATTAAAGATGATTCCCAAATTTGATGGTGATGAAGCTTATTGGTGGTTAGTCCAAGTTCAGCAACATTTCAAGAGAGAAAAAACACCTAATGAAGAGGAGCTTCATGAAGCAGAAAAAGCTATGAGGGGACGTGCTCTAATTTGGTATAATATGTGGAGTTATATCTACTCAGATGCTACTTGGTGGGACTTTTTCAAGGCGGTGCTCGAGCGTTTCCAACTCGAATGTGATTCGGAATTATACCATTGTTAGGAGGAAGTAGAAGTGGGACATTCAAGGTTAGAAAAGAAGATCCAGTGAAAACCTACGTTAGAGGAGGCAATACCAATGCTTCCAAAACAAATAAAAAAGAGGTATGTAGAGACTTTGTGTTGGAGAGATCGGAGGCCATAGAAGAAAATAAGACCAAGACAGTGTTGGAGAAGTCAAAAGAATCGGAGGTCATGGTTAGAGATGCTAGCAAAGAAGCACAAGGTCGAAGAGGAGTCAGAAAATCATAAGAAGAGGACAATTCTAGGAGGACATGAAAGGAAGCGGATACAAAGAGTGATATAGATGAGAGGACATGAATGCAAAGGAGATTTTGGCCAAGACGATGCATGAACTGATGACTCCGTAGTCACTTGAAATCGTAATCGACCCACCACCATTACTGGAACCACTAGACTCAATCTTTTGTGAGAGTGAGGAATATTCGTCATAGTTCAACAACAAACGTAAGTAGGTGCATGAATAACTGAAGGAGGGACAAGCTAGTTCATGTTTACAGCTATAGGGCCAAATGGGTTGGGCCTAAAAAGTTTCTATTGTCCAAAAGATTTTGGAATTGTGGTCTGGAGCATTCTAGACAAAGTTAGATCGTATTGAGGACAAACTCGAGTACATCTTCTACTTTGGCCCATCCTTCTCCACTGGGCTTCCTCACTACGACTACATATTCCTCGACACTGTCTAGGACATCACTCCCTACCATTCCATGATCGGCCACCATGTCAATAGCTGCTTCAGCGGGGATTGCAATGGCCTCGCCGTTGATAACAAGATTGACAAGAAGCTTGATATTAAGATGTGGGAGGAAGTTCTCAAAAGGGGAATCGATAGTTACAACAAAGGGTGTAGGAGCATCATCATGTACTACATCAAAACGGGGGACACCGTTATCATCTGCATTGGCTAATGGATAGACTTTAAAAACGATTACAAGACCATGGAACTTAAGTTTTTATGGAGTCTTTGCCTAGATTTATGCTATGAACCTTGTCTACAAAGGTTTTAAGGTCATGCTCTTTAGCATCAACTGCAAAACCCAACTCTTTAATTTTGAGGCAGTGTGTTTGGACCCATTTGCAAGGTATGAGACTTGGAGTCCCACGTTGTATGGGCAACTAATGTGGGGTTTATAAGGCCTTGGGCACTCTTACCCTTTGAGCTAGCTTTTGAGGTGGTGCATCCCAAGGTTCTTATCAAATGGTAACAGAGCACCGATTATGTTTCGCAGATTGGAACTTGGAACTGGAACCCGGGGGTTGGACCCCTGGACTTGGAATCCCGGGCTTGGGCTGCGAAGCATGGTGGAATGTTAGGACCCATTTGCAAGTTATGGAACTTGAGTCCCACATTGGTTGTATGGGCAACTAATGTGGAGTTTATAGGACTTGGGGCACTCCCACCCTTTGAGCTAGCTTTTGGGGTAGTGCATCCCAATGTTCTTATCAAATGATTATCTTGTGAATTGGTACTGAGTTATAATAAATTGGTATCAGAGCTCTCCGATCGAGGGGGCTTCGAACCATACCAATATGGGAAAAAAAATTAAAAACAAATGGAAAATCAATTTTACAAAATGAAAATTCCTTTATTTTCCAGTGAAGAAGAAGCTTGTAGATAGTTGATTGTGGCTGAACAATACTTCATGGCAAGGGAAACTTCAGATACAGAAAGGTTATCCGAAGCTGTGAAGGATCTAAGGGGTCCAGCTCGAACCTGGTATCGATACTGGATATGGTATAATCCTCATGCTACTTGGTGGACCTTTTTAAAAGCATTCTTCAACGAATTCCAACTAGAGGTTCGATTGGAGGATGACGAGGTTGGATCACCTAATGAACTTGAGTTCAACGGTGAATTCAGAGACTACAATGGAATGTCCTCGTTTTGTAATGGAGATGAAAGTAGAAGAGAAGGAGATCATATAGGAGAGGAAAATTCCAAAGGTAATTGTGAGTTATGACAGAAGATGGAAATACTTCTATCGGCTTCGCGATGGAGGAACATGAGCAAGAATGAAGCACAATGACAAAGTTAGTTAAAGAGAACATGAATGCCGGGGAGGCTTTGTCTCAAGAAACAACAGTGTGTTGGCCACCTTCTTTGATGGCTATGGAGTCTCCGATTTCCCCATCACCTTGGCTAGAGCAGCAGCTTCGTAATGGCTATTCTCCATCGATATGGAACGCTCATTCAAAGGAGAATCCACAAAGTGCATTAGAGAAATCAGGCCATGGTGATGGCCCATTTAGCCAAGCCCAAACTACTCTCAAAATGTTTCTGATCCAATCCAAGGATATGGGTCCTTTTCCTTTAGGTTATTGTGAGGTTTGAGCTTGTGAGCTCATGGGCTTGTTTGGACAAGAAATCTTGATTCTAATGGAAGAAATAATGAAAAAGAGGAAATGAAGAGACGAGGAGGACCGAAGAAACAAAGATTCAAATTAATAGAGGGGTTACATGAGAAAACTAGATTGGTTGCACGCCAGAGACAGGTCTCATTGGAAAGAGATGGTGGAGGTGTTTGGTTTTGCCGAAGTCAAAGAGTTCTAGTGTTTGGTTTTGCAAAAGAGGAAAGAGCTACGCTTCAGCATCACTGCGCTACAATGCAAAGTTTTTTGATGTTGCAGGATAATTTTAAGGGGCTTGTTGATCTTGTGCAGTTACATGCTCACTATTGTTGCTGTTCAAATGGCATAAAGGTTGTTGCTGAAGAAGTGTTTGCAGATATGGAAGCATGGGTAGAAGGAAAAAGACGTGAACTTATAGAAAATGCATCGCATCACCATACATTGGCTGAAACTTTCCTCGATGATGAAATCATATCAGCAACAAATTTTGAGGAAGCAGTAGGTACGGCGATCAAGGTGCAAAAATTTATACGAGTATTCATGGTTAGTGCTGTATTGATGCATTATGATGACATGTGCAAAAAGATCAAGGTTCCTCGCTTTGTTTTGATGCATTTTGATGACATGGAGACTCATGTTGGGCAAATAATTGCTGTAATTGTTTTTGGTTGTGCATCCGGAGATAATTTTATCGATTGGTCAGTTAGATACACAATTGCTTCTGTACTTCCGGACTCGAAAGATTCTGGAGGGCAATTTTTACATGCTTTGAATAGATTCCAAGAGTAGAATCTTACTTTTGGTGATTGCTTGAACCCAGGGAGTGGGCTGATGAGCTATTCGGGAATAGGGAAAATTGGACATCTTGTTGAAAATTTCAGAATTGTTTTAACTGATGGTGTTGCCCATGATGTTAATTCCAGCGAACTTGCATTTATGTTAGCTTGTATCTATCCTTTAAGACAATGCTATGGAACTTACAAGCAAGATAAATTTGTAGCTTTCTTTGGAGCAATTGATCAGGGAAAATACTCAGGTGGAAATAATGGCCGACAGGATGAAGGTGGAAACTACTATCCTGAATTGATTGACCACTATTTCCTTGATGGAAATAAAAGTACCTTATCTTGGACTGAGGTGCTGGAATCATGTAAGCTATCATTGGTGACTAGGTTACCGAAATTCTATTATGGCATTAAATTTGCAATGGTCTTTATTATTGAGTCAATTACCTATTTTGCTGATGTTAGATTTTATGGAGTTCTCTTTAGTGGATTTGCAGTTCTGACATGTCTTTTCATGAAGTCTTTTGGGGGTATTGAAGAAGGGAAATGGGATCGTGGATGTTAATATGCATCACACATAAATTGCTCATTATATTTCAAGCCCTGGGATCCCAGGGGAGTCATTAATTCAAGGGTTCTAAGGGCTGATCTTCACCTTGAGACAAGGTGAATTTTTTTTTTTTTTTTTTTGGGGGGGGGGGGGGGAGTATTAATACCTTTGTGAGGGCTTATGAAAGAAGAGATATAGGGGATCACTGCTCTTAACTGTATATGCTGACTCAGCTAAGGTTAGTTAGGGGGGAATCTATTTGTTAGAGTCACACATGTGGAGCATCTGACGAAGGGTTGGTATCAATTAGCAAGAGAGGCATCATTTTGGAGGCATCTGGACATTTTGGGACTGGACTTGGGCATTTGGGAGAGAAGCCAGAAGCTCTCGAATACTTCTGGGTAGCCATTACTTAGGTGTCAACTTTTCTTTCTTTAATTTCCTCTCTCTCCGTTTACATGTAATCTAGTCACTGCAACATGGTTTGTAAGCATTTCCCTTATTCCTATTTCTATTGTAGTGTCTTCAGTCGTGTACTGGTGTTAGCATATTTCATAACAGTAATTCATTTTATTATTTCATTTTCCATTATCTTGTGAATTGGTACTGAGTTGTAATAGAAACCCCACCCTAAACTTCTATGTATAACTAGTTCCTAACTAATGGAATTGGATACTTTATTAAAGGCCCATCAGAATAGGAAGAGAGTAGGTCATTTCTTGACCTTATTGATATTAGCTTATTCAGTGTTCATTCTTGTGCTCTTCGAGTTCTGTTTCTTCATGGAGCCAGTCGTAGAAGAGCAGTGGGTTCCCCGTGGAAGATATTATATCCCACACATAAACGGGTTCCTACATTTCAAACGGTAGGACTGTAGGGGAGAATTTACTCAAGGTTTTTGCAGGCTGATATTCCCTTGGGACAAGGTGAAACCAAGTATATTTGAGGAGCGAGGCTATTGTTGACAGCAATTTAGGTGCTTAGTCAGCAGAGTGGCCGTCATGGGTGAGAGGGTGAGTGGAGGGAATTTTCTGAAATGCAATTTTGTTAGAGAAAAGGAAGGGCAAGAGGATGTGGGAATGCACATCAGCATAAATAGGGAGGTTATTTTCAGAGGAGGCAGGCTGGAATTTGGAATTGAGCTTGGGAGAAATTAGTGCTTCTCTAATTGCTCTGAGCCTGTCTTTCTTTTTTTGTTTTTCCCCTTAATCTGTAGGGTTACACTCTGTAGTGCTCTTTATTCTCAGTATCTGTGACTATTACTACATTCTTTTTCCTGTTTGTGACAATCTGTCCTCCGTTGTACACTGATTCAGTTGACAATTAATGATAATTAATGCAAGTTGCTGTGTTTGGATTCCCTTTTTCCTTTCTTGATTGTCTGGTACATAACCAATTCTCGTAAGTCATGTTCTTATATCCTAACCAGTGCCGTTGATTTGGTTATTACTTTTTTTATTATTGCATCCGAAGCATTACAGAGTTTTCCGTTGTGCAAGATAACTTGAATGCGACATTTACTCTTTGCCTTCAGGTATTACTACAAGTTCATTGTTAACGGAGAATGGAAGCATTCAACTGCTTCACCGGCTGAGAGGGATGAAAGTGGAAATGTTAACAATATAATTGTGATTGGTGAAACTGCCAGCGTCCGGCCTTCTGTTCAGCACCAGCAGAAAGTATGTTCACAATCAATATTTGCTTTTTGCATTTTGATTGATCTCCTTATAATCCCATATGATTTGTTTCCCAATAAACCTATCATTCTTTTGCAATTTTTTGAGCACTGCAACCTAGCTAACCTAAATAAATTATCTTTTGCAATTTTAAATTTTTTTATCTTGCTTTCTGATTTTACTTATTCCTGCTACTACTTGATTGTAATTTGTGAGATTAATCTGTATTTTGAACCTAGATTTCTTCACGTTTGTTGCATTCACAAATAAATTAAGTAAACTTGGATAGAATTAGTTTGTCGTCTTGCAGTGAGTTCAATGCTTATTACTTAATCACTGATTTTTGTTCTAGGATGCCAACATTGTCAAGGTGATTGAAAGGCCTTTGAACGAAAAAGAGCGGTTTATGTTGGCAAAAGCAGCTCGTTGCATTGCTTTCTCTGTCTGTCCTATCAGATTAGCTCCCAAATAGTTGCATAGAAATAAATATCTTAATGTACAGAAATGCTGTTGTTATACATGTTATTGAGGTTATACAATTTGGTCACAGTGGTGAAGGCACGCAACAAGAGTAATCAATCATGCCCTGGGGTTTGTCTTGTAATTTCATCTGATGGGTATAGTGATGCACTTAGAATTGGTTTAGATATGTTGTTTTATGATCAAGAACTATTCAAGAAATAATGCAATGAGCAAAAACAATTTTGTTTCAGACAATAAAATGCAGAAACGACAATATAGAAATATAGAATCCATCCTTTGTGCAAAAGCACCAAGATTTTCTTGCACATTGTAATTTCGAGTTTTACAAGAATCTTGATCACTTTGAATATTTTAACAACCTAAACACCCTATATGCTCACTCTCTAGGATAAAATCTATCATTTTAACTAAACTATTTCAAACAAATGTTTATCTCTCCTCATAAAGAAGATATAATAAATCAATCTCAGTTCATAAATCACAAAAACCAAGAGCTTAGTGAGGAATCTATAAAAATGTGCAAAAATATCTCTTAATGATCTAAAAATTTAATCTTTGTATTCTGTACATTTTTGTATGTTTAAATGCATGTAAAATGTACTTATATATATAGGTGTAAGCCGAATATCATTCTTTTATAGTTTGTTAGAAATAATATTAGTTTATTATTCTAGAAGGTTATTTGAGCTTAGCCCATTAGGTCATTTAACCTCTTTAAATAGAAGACTCTTGTACAGTTTTATATAATTGAATACAATACATTCATACATTATAATTTGGTACCAGAGCTCTTTGTTCTGGGGATTTTTCGCTTCGGCTAAAACCCTAAGCCCACTGCTTAGGCGTTCTCTCATTCCTCTAATGTCGTGCGTCCCTCCGGCTTGGTTCTACATTGTTCACGCGGGTTTTAAAATAAAAATAAAAAAATATTGTTCACCGCGTCCTTACAGTCCGTACATATTTACTGTTCATCGTTCGTACAATCTGTTAGAAATAATATTAATTTATTATTATTAGAATAGTCTAGAATAGTCTAGATTGTGGGCTTGGCCCATTAGGTCATCCCATTAGGTCTTTTAGTCTCTATAAATAGAGAGCCTCCTTGTACAGACTTACACACTTGAATATACAATATATTTCAGATTCAATTTGGTATCAGAGCTCTCGATCTGAGGGCTCTGCTTCCGTATATATATATTTTCCTTTCTTTTTACTGCCGTGCATCATACCGGCAAACCTTTTTACCGCCGTGCATCATACCGACAACCTTTTTCAACCCTTTTTCGATATCAGATCGTCATCCTCCTTCATTATTTGACCGGAAAACGCTATTCACATCGCCAAAAACACTGTTCTGTCACTGTTCCGGCCACCTTTCCGGCGAGAAACCACGCGATCGGGATCCCCTCACGCCGACGACCATTTCTGTCCAAGACCCGTCCCAAACGGCCGCCGCACGCGCCTCCACGCGCCACCACAGCCGTCTGCGCGTGGGCCTCACGCGCCACCTCTCTCAAGCGCGTGTGCACTGTTCCGGCCACCTTTCCGGCCAAACCAAGGCAGATAGGCTCGCCTCTGCCTCCTCCTTCCAGATCCGGTGCCCGTTCGTCGTGGGTCTCTTCCGTTCGAGGGTTTCCAGTGCAAAAGTCGCTACTTTGTTCCTTTTTCGCGTGATTTTTACAGTTTTTTTTTTGGTTGTCTGATCGCTGTTCCTGATGGAAGGAACCAGTAAACATTCTTCCGGCATCATTTCAAGTGCTATTCTATTGATCACAACTCTGGAATTGACCGGATCTGCCACTTACAAGACTTGGTCTACCTCCGTTAAGATCTGGTTTACCGGTTAAGGCCATGACAAACATCTCACCACTAAGAAGACTGATATTTCCAAAGATCAGATGACTGAATGGGAGAAAGTTAATGCTCAGCTCCTCAGTATTCTTTGGCAATCCATTGATTCATCTCTTCCCAATATTTTCATCCCCTTTGAGACCTGCTATGATGTGTGGACGGATGCCAAAAACCTCTACACCAATGATATTCAGCAACTTTATTCCATTGTCTCCCAGATGATGGATTTGCGTAAATCACCTGAAGCTCGTATGGAAGTTTATGTTGGTAAGATTCGTTCTTTGATGCAGGAATTTTTGGCTATGTTACCTCATGCTGCGGATGCTACAGTGTACAGGACGCAAGTGGAGCGTCTCTTTACGGTTGTGACTCTCTCTGGTCTCCCTGACAGATTAGAAAGTGTTCGTGAGAACATTCTAACCAGTACTGCGATTCCCAGCATATCCCAGACCTTTCAGCGCCTTCTGAATCTTCAAGATAAGGTGGCCCCCGCACACGTGCCAGCTACTGACTCTACTGCTCTCTTATCTGATTCTGCTGCTTTAGTCTCTCGTGGTAATTGGAACAATGGTGGACGCGGTCGTGGTCGTGGCCGCGGACAAGGCGATCGCGGGCCCATGACATCATATGGCCCAGGCGGGCGCGGACAGACGATGTCGTATGGACAGGGTGGCCGAGGACAAAGGCCTCGGTGTAATTATTGCCAATATCTGGGCCATATTGAAGAACGTTGTTATATAAAGTACCCTCACTTGAAGCCACCACATATGAACTTTGCTCAAACAGATGTTGTGCCGCCCTCTACCGGATCAGTGACTATTTTTCGCGGCAGACTATGAGGCCCTTCTCTAGAAGAGTTCTTCTCAACCACCTTCTCCAGATACTGGTAATCATGTTGCTTGTTTTTCTCAATCGTCTCTTGACCCTGGATAATAGACTCAGGTGCTACTGATCATCTTTGTGGTAATAAGGATCTTTTTACTTCCCTTACCTTTTCTAATAATCTTCCCTCTGTTACTCTTGCTGATGGCACCAAGGCTCCTGCTCGTGGCATTGGGCAAGCCAAACCAACTCCCTTCTTGACTTTAACCTCTGTTTATTACATCCCTGACATTCCTTTTAATTTAATTTCTGTTAGTCAATTGACCTATTCTCTTTCTTGCTCTATCACCTTTTCTAAGCAGTCTTTTTCTATGCAGGATCCGGGTACGGGGAAGACGATTGGAGTGGGCGGTGAGTCACGAGGTCTCTACTATCTGCATGCACCCTCTGCTCCAGTTGCATGCTCTCTCACATAGTCTCCTGAGCTTCTCCATAGCCGTCTGGGTCATCCAAGTCTCTCGAAGCTTCAGCATATAGTTCCGTTTTTGTCAGGTCTTAAGTCTTTGAATTGTCAGTCTTGTCAGCAGGGAAAGCATACTCGCTCTTCCTTTGCTAGTAGAGTCAATAAGAGAGCTGATGCTCCCTTTTTTATTGTTCATTCTGATATTTGGGGTCCGAGTCGGACTATGTCAGTTTTGGGTTTTCAGTATTTTGTAACCTTTATTGATGATTTCTCCCGTTGCACTTGGGTTTATTTAATGAAAAATCGTTTTGAGTTATTTTCAATTTATCAAAAGTTTTGTGCTGAAATAAAAACTCAATTTGGTGCTTCTATTCAAATCTTGCGCAGTGATAATGCAAAAGAGTATGTGTCTCTTGAATTTTCTAAATTTCTGGATACACATGGGACAATACACCAGACTACCTGTCCCCACACTCCACAACAAAATGGAGTCGCTGAACGTAAAAATAGACATCTAGTTGAAACTGCACGTACACTTCTCATTCATATGAACGTCCCACTCCATTTTTGGGCAGATGCTATTATCACCTCATGTTTCCTTATCAACCGCATGCCCTCTTCTGTGCTAAATAATGATGTTCCCCACAGTATTTTGTTTTCCGGAGCACCTTCTTATCCTCTGCCTTTACATATTTTTGGTTGTACTTGTTTTGTTCATGATCTTACTCCAGGTAAAGACAAGTTGATAATCCAAGGCCTTCAAATGTATTTTCCTTGGGTATACCCGTTTTCAAAAAGGGTATCGTTGCTATTCTCCGGATCTCAAGCGTTATACCATTTCTGCTGATGTCATTTTCCTTGATCAGCAGCCTTTTCACTCTACTCCGTCTCCAGTGTCACAAGTTGATCAGGTCCTTCCTGTTCCTTTTCTTGACTTGTCTTTACCAGCTGCAGGTGACCCTATTCCAGAGGAGCAACCAATTACCTCCATACCTGCAGATCGTCCTCTCCTCATATACCAGCGTCGTCAGCCTGCACCTCCTCCGACTTTGCCTCTTGATGACTCATCGCCCTTTCCCGTCGGCTCTTCTCCTCCGGATCCTCCATCAGAGACTCCTCCCATTGCCCTTCGGAAAGGTATTCGATCCACTCGAAATCCTCATCCCCTTTATTCTTTCTTGAGTTATGACAGACTTTCTTCACAACGTTTTACTTTTGTTTCTAGTCTCTCTTCTGTTTCCATCCCTAAAATCACAGGTGAAGCACTATCTCATCCAGGGTGGCGCCAGGCGATGCTTGATGAAATGCAGGCACTTCACTCCAATGGCACTTGGGATCTTCTTCGTGCTCCTCCCGGGAAGTCTGTTGTTGGTTGTCGATGGGTGTTCACAGTTAAAGTTGGTCCTGATGGCACTGTTGATCGCCTTAAAGCTCGCTTAGTGGCCAAGGGATACACACAGATCTTTGGTCTTGATTATGGGGATACCTTTTCTCCTGTTGCTAAGATGGCTTCTGTTCGCCTGTTTCTTGCCCTTGCCGCCATTCATCACTGGCCTCTTCTCCAACTTGATATTAAGAATGCCTTTCTACATGGTGACTTGCAGGAGGAAGTTTATATGGAGCAACCACCAGGTTTTGTTGCTCAGGGGGAGAGTTCTGGAATGATATATAAACTTCAGAAATCTTTATATGGCCTGAAGCAATCTCCTCGGGCCTAGTTTACTTAATCAGAAGCAAAGCCGATCATTCTGTCTTTTACCGGCATAGCTCCTCTGGCCAGTGCGTTTATCTCCTGGTCTATGTTGATGACATTATCATTACAGGCAGTGATCAGACCGGGATTGATCAGTTGAAAGAGCATTTATTCAATCAATTTCAGACCAAAGATCTTGGCAGACTTCGATATTTCTTGGGGATCGAAGTTGTACAGTCTAGGCGGGGCATTTCCATCTGTCAGAGGAAGTATGCACTGGATATCCTAGATGAGACTGGCATGTTAGGCTGTAAACCCATTGATACACCTATGGACCTCAATGTTAAGTTATTACCAGGACAGGGGGAGCCACTGCCA